TTTTTAACTCCACTGTGCGTTATTACCATCCTGCGCCTGTCTTTAAGGTCAGGCACAACTTTACAAAGACACGTGTCTGTCCTCTGTCTTCATCAACTAAATCTGGCATTATTTTAATTAATGAGAAGACTTCATTAGCTGTCTTGGGGGGGGGGGGGTGTCAGCGTTCTGTCCTACAGCAGATTACCGAGGGGATTTCGGTGATGCTGGAGCATCTTAATTGGATCACAGTGGGTGTTGCCTGCTTAAATATTATGCAATAATGAAAGTCGTTACTCTTCTCAGCAGAGTCCTGATTAGTGCACCTTTATTTCTTCTCATTAAAGCTCCAGCATTCACCTGGAATATCATAATCGGAGGATAAGTGGTGCAAATCTCCCACCTTGTGGACAAGTTTGGTACTGCAGACATTGGTTAATTATTAATGCATTATTCGTTTACTTTAACGTAAATTGACGTAATAGTTGTGCCAAAAAAAAAAAAAATTCTCCCAATTAAAAACCTACATTTGTTTTTTCTCCATGTGGTCCACAGGCAGCAGAGTTACACTAAATCTGTCTTCCTGGATGAAAACAAAGAACACGCATAAAAGGTAGGATAAACTAAAACGTTTTTGTGAATAGTTGTTTGGTTCTGCCAGTCAATCAGCTACGATTAATTTTAAGGCCTCGACCTGTTCTTCATCATCTTCTCTCCAAGCAGAGATGGTTTTTGCATCAGAGGCATTTTTCACTCGAGTGACAGACACGCTGGGTGACATTGTGGTTGTGATGTAGAGGGTGTTGTTTACTGTATAAGAGGAAAATGAAGAATAGATTATGAGGTTAATCACCTCTTTATATTACTATATAAAGCTCATGTCCAACAAAGATGTCAGCAATGACATTCTACCGCAGTTCTGCTCATGTAAATGAGGTGTAAGTAGCCTCACATAAAATATACTCAGAACAGCTCTCAGATTTTAAAGCCAATGTGCGTCGACTCGTTTTTTATTAGAGGTTGATTGTTATTTCACACGTCTACAGACTTTAGTGGAGGATTAAACTTTATTCAAATGCAGGAGAATCATTTCATCAGCTCGGTTTGCATGAAATTATTTAGAGGTCAAGCGGCAACAGTTGTGAAGTGGTGGAGATGCCGTGAAGTCTTTGTTGTCAAAATGAATGACTAGACACACATTTCTCTAAAAAGCACCTGTTGGTCGTTTAAAAACCTGATCTGGTCGAACAGAAATTACAGAAAAGTCCACACTGCAGTCTTCTCTTAGCAAAAACTGTGTGCTTCAGTTAGGAGGTGGAACCCTGGATCCGTCTTTTTCTTCTCCGTCCCACGAACAAATCCTTCTCTGGAAATCCTTTTCCAAGTCAATCTGTGGAGGGTTTTTTTTTTCTTTCAACTGTTAGTCACAGCAGCTCAGCAGCCAAATGTCCCCAGGATAATATTAAAGGTTTGCATAATAACGTTGTCTGTTGTCATAATCTCTGTTGGCGAACTTGGCGTCCTTTTTACTGTGTGGGATTCGTCCGAAAGGCGCGTGGTCGTTGAAGCAGGGCTCGAAGACCTCGTCCACTATTTTCTCTGCGTACTCTTGACTTATTTTTCTCACCGCCAGAATGGACAGAAGAGCACGGGCCCTGACGCACTCCTGTCCAGGGAAACGGTTAAGAGTTAAGAGTGACGTTGAAACATAAAGTCAGAACACAACACAGGCAGGAGTTGAAATGGTACCTGATGATGCTGCTTCAGGCCCAGGTTTAACCTGGAAACTTCATTGGAAAAGGAACAGTCTCCACTGAGGTTAGCTGCACGAATCTGAAACAGCCATGCACACAGAGAGATTATTTTATGTTATACATACATACACTTACACACAAACACATATACATACATACATATAAATACATATATACACATATATATATACATATAACTATATAGACATATGTACACATATATAAATATATACATATACATACATATATAAATATATACACACAGAATGTCTATATATGTATGTATATGTGTGTATCACACATATAAACAAATATATACATATACACACACATATCTGTGTGTAAATGATTTCAACAGTTAATGCAAACATAATGGGAAGGCAGCCCGACTCACTTCAGAACAAGCAAGGTGCTTGAGATTGCTGAACCAGTCCACGTGGGCCCGGCAGTGGTCGAAGGCGTGGATGAGCTCGTGTGTGACCACGCGGTTCATGTGGGACTGCTGGTGGATGTTGTTCTGACATAAGACAATCTGAAAAACCAGGAAGTGTCGTTACAGCAGAGCTGACTCAGAGTCTGGAGGAAAATGTCTCGGTTTTGTTGTTGTTGTTGTTGTCGCTCTTACTTGAGAAGAAACTGAATCGAAGCCGCCGCTGACTGTGCCGTCACAATCCTCACAGGAAAAATGACGGTCTTTGAATGTTTTGCTGAGTTGAACAAAAAAAAAAGAGACATCACATCACATTGGTGCAATTTTCAAAATAATTATCACAAAAAAAAACAAGAACGGTTTGTCTCTTCTCTATAGCATTTTTCATTCATATATTTGTATCCAAACAAAAGCTAATCAATATTTAATATGTCATGTATTTTAGGTCAAACAGGACATAAATAATATCAGTGATCACCAGGGTGATTATAATTATAGTCTCATTAAAGCATCATTTAAATCATTTATTTTAACATGTCCATATTCCTGAAACTTTTTCACCAATTTACTCAACTGCTGAACTGCAGGCCACCTAGTGGTAATGCTAATGTTTGGGTCACGTATGCAAATCAGAGGACAAATACAAATAGGTATAGTTGCCGGTCATGATCAGGCCCTGGACCAGACTTTGAGCATTCTTGGCTTCTCACTTCAAGAACACAACACAACTGTACACAACACGACAGATTTGGACCATAACTCATACTTACCAGCCTGAACTGTTCATAGCACTGAGCAGAAGTTTAGCATAAGGACCTGGAGGAGACAGAGGTCAGTTTAGGAGGAGGTGTAAGCGTTTCACCGGTTACTGTTAGCACCATTCCCAGCGTGCTCATATTAGCTACCGGTAAAACACATTTGCTATTCATTTTCCGGTATACAGTACTGACAATAGAACGTTGTTCCATACATAAATTCCGGTGCACACGTAACGATCAGTAAAAGGCTCAATAACGAGCTACTTACTAGAATTAACTGCGAAATGTAGCATGGCCTGACACTTGTGATTGAAAGTGAATAACCTCTCGGCGACCGATCCCTTCTTTAACCTGCTCCCCTTCCTCTCTGGGAATAAGTCGTATCCGTAATCTTCATTTTCTTTGGTTTGGTCCATTGTGACGAACGTCAGTTCGTCAAGTCCCCTCGGTTGGCTTTCCCTAGCTAGCAACAGAGGTCGACAGTTTCTGCAGATCACGTGGTCACTGTAGGTCAAAAGTTATGTTTTATTTTTTATTTTATTAAATAAATGAATTGTCTGCAAAACGCATTCTTACCAAATGCTGATACAAATGACGCTAAGAATGTTTTATATAAATATTTGAATATAATAAATTGTTGAGTTAAGAATCCTCACGTCTAACACCGGGAAAGATCGTCTATCTAGAAGATGTTTATCTTGAATGCGGTGTCGTGGAACATGCTAAAAAGAAACAAATAAAGTAATATATTATAATAATATATTATGCACTATGAATAATTTTATCTTTAGTTTTTGTTGTAAATATCAAATTCCCAGGACTACTTTATGTCGAGGTAGTAGAACGGTAATCAATATACTGCAGCTGTGGTGCATCTTTCTACAGTTGGTTTTATTTAATATCTGATAGATTAATCGTTATTAAACGTGTATCGTTTTAACCTTTCTTTGAATAAGTTAATAAGTGATTATTTTCGTTGTCGTTTTCTTTATTTTCTTTTGTTTGAGCATTTTTCTTTTTTCTTTTAGTATAGTAACTGTATTGTGGACGATCTCTGATGTCTTCCGGAAGTACGTCACATAATCTACCGGTCCTCCGCTGTCATGGCCCCGAACGTAAACAAAAAGTAACACGTTTTTGTCATAGCTCGCGATTTCTTCATAGTAACGTTTTACTACTGTTCTATTGGTTGTGTAGTTTTAAACGGGTAAGTTACGAGGTTTTATCACCATTCCACAATTCTCTGATGTAGTTTAGCTTTCCTGTTAGCCACCTAGCTACGAACCACATAATAGGTTAGATCCTATATTTATCTTCTATTAACATTAAAGTACTAACACTATGTGACTGTTGCACAACAGCTCAAACAGCAACAAAATGTCTAATGTTTTTTCAGGGTTGACCATGATGTCTGGAAACAAAGTCGTCGAGTTACAGGTTGAGATGCGGCAGAATGCGGAGGACATGCAAAGCTACTTGAAAGAGCTGGAGAGTTGGGAAACAGACATAAAGAGAAAGGATGAGGAGCTGAGGACGGGGGGACGGAAGCCGGATCAGGTCTGTTGTCATTGACGTGTCTGTTTTTGTCTGGTGTTCCTCATGGTACTAAGAATCTCTGTTACTAAAGATAAGCATCGCTGTGTTGTAGAAAACACTCCCACCCGTGCGCAACAAGGACTACAAAAACAAAATGAGGCAGAAGAGGAAGAAAACGGCGATCGTTTCTGATGGTGATGGTGATACAAAAGCTGAGGAGGAGCAGAAAAAAGATTTAAGGATAAAAGGTTATGACTATCGATCTTGGGACAAGTTTGACGTGGTAAGGAATACTCCAGTATTGTGACTGTTTAAGAGCTCAAGTCATGGAAGAATCTATTGAGAGTGATTGGCATTTTGTTTGCAGGACAAAGCTCTGGCAGAGATGGATAAAGAAGAAAGTCCAGCAGAGTCCAATGAGTCTGATTCAGAGGATGCTTCAGTTGACACGGAGAAAGCCCTGACTGAGAAAGAGAAGGTGAATACTGCAACCAAAACAATGGGGGGTAAAAAGATAAGTTCAAAAAAAAAGGGGGGGGGGGGGGGAGATAAGTCGTTAAAATTCATGTTCATCTTTACCTTTGATTTTCAGGGTAACACGTTCTTCAAAGATGGAAAGTACGATGATGCCATTGAGAGTTACACCAGAGGGATGAGTGTGGATCCGTACAACCCGGTGCTTCCCACCAATCGAGCCACTGCTTTCTTCAGACTTAAAAAGTAAAAGCAAAAACCGTCAGTTGACTGGAGAAGTGTTTGTGTGTAGCACAATTTTCATCCCTTCCTTCTCTGCAGGTATGCCGTGGCAGAGTCCGACTGCAACCTGGCGATCGCTCTGGACGGAAACTACTTTAAAGCATATGCACGAAGAGGAGCCGCCCGATTGGCCTTGAAGAAATTAGAATCTGCGTTAGAAGGTAAAAAAAAGGCGAAGTGATCTAATCATTACATCTAAAGTCCGATGACGTGACATCATGTTTGGTTACAGACTACGAGATGGTTCTGAAGCTTGACCCTGGAAACACAGAGGCCCAGAACGAAGTCGTGAAAATCAAAGAGGTGACAGAGTTATGATGAACCTTTTTACCTCCGTCTGGTTATCGTTCCCTTCCACACGGTGAAATTATTTTTCTGTTACTGCTTTTCAGGCCCTTGGGCATCAAACAGTCCAGAATGAAGCCCCGCAGCCGAAGCAGGAGGCTGTTCCAGCCGACACGGAGCAGCAGAGACTGATGGAGGAGCAGCGCAGGAGGCAGGAGGCCGTTCTACAGAAAGACAGAGTAGGACTGGCTTCGGTCACTGCGTCTTCTTCCTGTTTGATCAGATTAAACTGGATGAGGTTCAACTTTGGTTCTACGTGTCCCTCAAACAGTTTTGGTTCTAAATTTGCCACAACAGGGTAACGCTTACTTCAAAGAGGGGAAGTACGAAGCAGCCGTCCAGTGCTACAGCCAAGGCATGGAGGCCGACGGCCTGAACGTCCTCCTTCCTGCCAACAGAGCCATGGCCTTCCTGAAGCTGGAGAAGTAAACACATCGCCAAAGACATCCAACCAAAAAGATGGGGGAAGCTGGAGAAGTAAACACATCGCCAAGACATCCAACCAAAAAGATGACTGAGGTAAGTGATGTTTTTTTTTTTATGCTGACCACCTGTGTCTGTGTTCCAGGTATAAGGAGGCAGAGGAGGACTGCACCAAGGCCATCCACCTGGACAGTACTTACTCCAAGGCTTTTGCTCGGCGTGGAACAGCCAGAGTGGCTTTAGGGAAAGTGGAGGAGGCCAGAGAAGGTGTGTCGTCTGAAAACTACAACTGCATTCTCTGTCTGGGATTTAATGAGCCTGAAACACATGAATCTGGGGGAACTGTTGTTGTGTATTCTGTGTTTTATAAATGAAGTTCATTTAGTTTTGAATCAATAACAAGACATTGAATGTGTGTGTGTGTTTGTGTTTTTCAGATTTTCAGGAGCTGTTGAAGCTGGAGCCAGGAAACAAACAGGCTCTGAATGAACTCCAGAAACTCGTACGTTTATTTGTTATTAATTAGCATTCATTCAAAGTAGTCAGTTATGACAGTAAAGTCTTAGGACAGATGTTCTCAAATTTAAAAGATGTCAGAATAATGAATAACTAAACCATGTTACGATAACAGATGTAGATTTGGACTCAGTTTGGGCCTAAATGGTCAAATCAAACTTTGTTTTTCCAGGACATGAGGCTCAGTGGCCTCCTCGACACAGAGGTCGGCTGCCAGAGGAGAACGGTGCAGCCCATCGATAAACCAACGCATCTGCGTTCAACTGTAAGTATATATATATATTATCCATCCATCCATCCATTTTCAGCTGCTTATCTGTTACCGGGTCGCAGGGGCAGCAGTCGCCACCCACATCACACAGCACCGTATCAACCCCCCTAAACCTTCCTGTGGATGGTGAGTCCACTGGGAGGTACCAACTGCCCCGATTTGAACTTGCCCAGGAGGTGAACCCTGGGGTTCCACACCAATGACAGAGACATTGTCTCTGGGCCAAAGCACCACTTGAAAAAATTTTGAAAAAATAAAATTTTGATTTTTTTTTTTTTAAATTTTAGCAAAAAAACATTTTCCAAAAAAAATTTTAGAAACTTTTTTTTTTTTTCAAAATAGTTTTTAAAAAAAATTTAGAAATTTTTATTTTTTTAATTTTAGAAAAAAGAAAAATTTGAAAAAATTTTAGAAAAAAGTTTTTTTGAAAAAATTTCCATCAATCCATTTTCATCCGCTTATCCGTTACCGGGTCGCAGGGGCAGCAGTCGCCACCCACATCACGTTGCACCGTACGAACCCCCCTAAACCTTCCTGCAGGTGGTGAGTCCACTGGAAGGTACCAACCGCCCTAACCGGGATTCAAACCTGCCCAGGAGGTGAACCCTGGGGTTTCACACTAATGACAGAGACATTGCCTCTGGGCCAAAGCGCCACTATGTGATTAAAAAGAATTTTATAAAATCAAATGATCAATTGTCAAATGGATGGACTTAAAAGACAAGTGTATCAGTTGTATAAAAACCCAGAAAAACCCAGGAGTTTATGGTTTTTTTTTCCCCCCTGAGGATTCAAAGGATTTATGACTCCATATTTTTGATCTTCTTTTGATCGAGTCCCTCCCCTTCGCTCAT